AATAATCTCCGGGTCTCTTTCTGTCTGTTATCCCGGTGCTCACCTCTTTATCTAATCACTGAAGCGTTTTGATTTTTGTTTCCTCTGAGATTATGATGCAGTCCGTGTGGTCTCTGTCCCTCTCTGTTCATCTCTGTCTCTGTTCCTCTCTGTCCCTCTCTGTCCATCTCTGTTCCTCTCTGTTCGTGTAATCATGTGTAATACAGTCTGTTGGCTCCAGATGTAATAAGCCCTTAAATCTTTTAAAGCAGTCCTGGAGCTTCTCCTTAATGTGGTCCTGAGACATATATTTCATAAGTTTACTGTGTTAATCAGAGGTGTGTGTGTGTGTGTGTGTGTGTGGGTGGTGTGTGTGTGTGGGTGTGTGTGTGTGTGTGTGTGGTGTGTGTGTGTGTGTGTGTGTGTGGTGTGTGTGGAGGAATGTGGAGGAGCAGGAGGAACGGCCAAACCTGTCACACCTGTCTCACCTGTATCTCTGTATGACAGTCTCTCGTTCTAGCAGCGCCCCCTGCTGGCTGCTCGCTGCAGTGCAGCTGCTAACATCTCAGCTCGTTCAGAATCTTTGGTTGAACACAGTGGCGTAACTATCGCGGTGCAGCCGGTGCCATCTTGGCTCTAATGTTTGTATTCACTCCATGAGAGGTGTGTCAGAAGATGCCATTGGGATCAATACATCACTACTCAGCGTGTCTGAGTCCTGTGTCCTGTGTCCTGTGTCCTGAGTCCTGTGTCCTGAGTCCTGTGTCCTGAGTCCTGTGTCCTGTGTCCTGAGTCCTGTCTCCTGAGTCCTGTGTCCTGTGTCCTGTGTCCTGAGTCCTGTGTCCTGAGTCCTGTGTCCTGTGTCCTGAGTCCTGTGTCCTGAGTCCTGAGTCCTGTGTCCTGAGTCCTGTGTCCTGAGTCCTGTGTCCTGAGTCCTGTGTCCTGTGTCCTGTGTCCTGAGTCCTGTGTCCTGAGTCCTGTGTCCTGTGTCCTGAGTCCTGTGTCCTGAGTCCTGTGTCCTGTGTCCTGAGTCCTGTGTCCTGAGTCCTCCCCTCTGCATAACATCCCATCACCAATAAGAAACACAACGCAGAGTCCCAGGGTGTTCAGAGAGGCTACGGGACATTTGGGTTACATCTTTGGCCGGCCAGGGGCCCATGCAAATACAAATAAATAAAAAGATTATTTAAAAAAAATAAAATTATATATACCTTTTTTTGGGGGCCCGATGGCATTGACCGCTTCACGCAGTCTTCAAAGTAACCAAGCAACCTAAATGAATTAGTAATTTGTCTGTCCAATGAGCTTGTTCCCTTTCATGTCATGTGATACCTTGCGTGACGAGCGAACCGTTTAATCAACCTGTGCTGTAGCTAGCAGCAGCAAGTTCAGCAGCATTATAACAAATGTAATAACTTGCATTTATAATGTACAGCAAACCAAAGCACGAGAGCAGCGCCTCAAAAGAGAAAGGACGAAGAGAGAACAAGGAGACGTAACGGCTAAAGAGAGAACGAGGAGATGTAACGGCTAAAGAGAGAACGAGGAGACGTAACGGCTATAAAGAGGAGAACAAGGAGACGTAAGGCTAAAGAGAGAACGAGGAGACGTAACGGCCAAAGAGAGAACGAGGAGACGTAACGGCAAAGAGAGAACGAGGAGACGTAACGGCCAAAGAGAGAACGAGGAGACGTAACGGCCAAAGAGAGAACGAGGAGACGTAACGGCCAAAGAGAGAACGAGGAGACGTAACGGCCAAAGAGAGAACGAGGGACGTAACGGCCAAAGAGAGAACGAGGAGACGTAACGGCCAAAGAGAGAACGAGGAGACGTAACGGCCAAAGAGAGAACGAGGAGACGTAACGGCCAAAGAGAGAACGAGGAGACGTAACGGCCAAAGAGAGAACGAGGAGACGTAACGGCCAAAGAGAGAACGAGGAGACGTAACGGCCACAGAGAGAACGTGGAGACGTAACGGCTACAGAGAGAACGAGGAGACGTAACGGCTAAAGAGAGAACGAGGAGACGGAACGGCTAAAGAGAGAGCGAGGAGACGTAACGGCTAAAGAGAGAACGAGGAGACGTAACGGCTAAAGAGAGAACGAGGAGACGTAACGGCTAAAGAGAGAACGAGGAGACGTAAGGCCAAAGAGAGAACGAGGAGACGTAACGGCTAGAGAGAGAACGAGGAGACGTAACGGCCAAAGAGAGAACGAGGAGACGTAACGGCCAAAGAGAGAACGAGGAGACGTAACGGCCAAAGAGAGAACGAGGAGACGCAACGGCCAAAGAGAGAGAACGAGGAGACGTAACGGCCAAAGAGAGAACGAGGAGACGTAACGGCCAAAGAGAGAACGAGGAGACGTAACGGCCAAAGAGAGAGAACGAGAGAGACGTAACGGCCAAAGAGAGAACGAGGAGACGTAACGGCCAAAAGAGAACGAGGAGACGCTAACGGCCAAAGAGAGAACGAGGAGACGCAACGGCCAAAGAGAGAACGAGGAGACGCAACGGCCAAAGAGAGAACGAGGAGACGCAACGGCCAAAGAGAGAACGAGGAGACGTAACGGCCAAAGAGAGAACGAGGAGACGCAACGGCTACAGAGAGAACGAGGAGACGCAACGGCTAGAGAGAGAACGAGGAGACGTAACGGCTAGAGAGAGAACGAGGAGACGTAACGGCTAAAGAGAGAACGAGGAGACGTAACGGCTAAAGAGAGAACGAGGAGACGTAACGGCTAGAGAGAGAACGAGGAGACGCAACGGCTAGAGAGAGAACGAGGAGACGCAACGGCTAGAGAGAGAACGAGGAGACGCAACGGCTAGAGAGAGAACGAGGAGACGCAACGGCTAAAGAGAGAACGAGGAGACGCAACGGCTAAAGAGAGAACGAGGAGACGCAACGGCTAAAGAGAGAACGTGGAGACGCAACGGCTAAAGAGAGAACGAGGAGACGTAACGGCTAAAGAGAGAACGAGGAGACGTAACGGCTAAAGAGAGAACGAGGAGACGTAACGGCTACAGAGAGAACGAGGAGACGAACGGCTACAGAGAGAACGAGGAGACGTAACGGCTACAGAGAGACGAGGAGAACGGGAGACGTAGCGGCTACAGAGAGAACGAGGAGACGTAGCGGCTAAAGAGAGAACGAGGAGACGTAACGGCTAAAGAGAAGAACGAGGAGACGTAACGGCTACAGAGAGAACGAGGAGACGTAACGGCTAGAGAGAAGAGAGAACGAGGAGACGTAACGGCTAAAGAGAGAACGAGGAGACGTAACGGCTACAGAGAGAACGAGGAGACGTAACGGCTAAAGAGAGAACGAGGAGACGTAACGGCTAAGAGAGAACGAGGAGACGTAACGGCTACAGAGAGAACGAGGAGACGTAACGGCTAGAGAGAGAACGAGGAGACGTAACGGCTAAAGAGAGAACGAGGAGACGTAACGGCTAAAGAGAGAACGAGGAGACGTAACGGCTACAGAGAGAACGAGGAGACGTAACGGCTAGAGAGAGAACGAGGAGTAACGGCTACAGAGAGAACGAGGAGACGTAACGGCTAAAGAGAGAACGAGGAGACGTAACGGCTAAAGAGAGAACGAGGAGACGTAACGGCTAGAGAGAGAACGAGGAGACGTAACGGCTAGAGAGAGAACGAGGAGACGTAACGGCTAAAGAGAGAACGCGGAGACGTAACGGCTAAAGAGAGAACGAGGAGACGTAACGGCTACAGAGAGAACGAGAGACGTAACGGCTAAAGAGAGAACGAGAGACGTAACGGCTAGAGGAGAACGAGGAGACGTAACGGCTACAGAGAGAACGAGGAGACGTAACGGCTAAAGAGAGAACGAGGAGACGTAACGGCTAGAGAGAGAACGAGGAGACGTAACGGCTAGTAGAGAGAGAACGAGGGAGACGTACGGCTACAGATGGAGAACGAGGAGACCGTAACGGCTAAAGAGAGAACGAGGAGACGTAACGGCTACAGAGAGAGCGAGGAGACGTAACGGCTCTAAAGAGAGAACGAGGAGACGTAACGGCTCTACTAAGAGAGAACGTGGAGACGTAACGGCTATACTAAAGAGAGAACGAGGAGAACGTAACGGCTTAGAGAGAGAACGAGGTAGACGTAACGGCTAAAAGAGAGAACGAGGAGACGTAACGGCTCTAAAGAGATAACGAGGAGGACGTAACGGCTAAAGAGAGAACGAGGAGACGTAACGGCTCTAAAGAGAGAACGAGGAGACGTAACGGCTATAGAGAGAACGAGGAGACGTAACGGCTACAGAGAGAACGAGGAGACGTAACGGCTAGAGACGAGAACGAGGAGACGTAAGGCTAGAGAGAGAACGAGGAGACGTAACGGCTAGAGAGAGAACGAGGGACGTAACGGCTACAGAGAGAACGAGGAGACGTAACGGCTAAAGAGAGAACGAGGAGACGTAACGCTAAAGAGAGAACGTGGAGACGTAACGGCTAAAGAGAGAACGAGGAGACGTAACGGCTAGAGAGAGAACGAGGAGACGTAACGGCTAAAGAGAGAACGAGGAGACGTAACGGCTAGAGAGAGAGGAGACGTAACGGCTAAAGAGAGAACGAGGAGACGTAACGGCTAAAGAGAGAACGAGGAGACGTAACGGCTAAACTGACTAAATTAGACCGTTTTTTTTGTCATACATCGTCCTCGAAATCTCGATTAATTCTGTAAAGTGATTGTGTGATTAGTTGGCTGTGCCGTTGGCAGGCTGTGGTGGTCTGAGGCCGGGGCAGGCTGTGGTGGTCTGAGGCCGGGGCAGGCTGTGGTGGTCTGAGGCCGGGGCAGGCTGTGGTGGTCTGAGGCCGGGGCAGGCTGTGGTGGTCTGAGGCCGGGGCAGGCTGTGGTGGTCTGAGGCCAGGGCCAATCACAATCTTGTTACGCCACTGGTTGAACATGAAGATTCAAAAATCAACAGAACCTTTATTTTGAAAATACAAAAGTCTTCTTCTTCTCCCCCTGTGTTCCCAGTGGGTGAGTCACTGGTTGGTTGCCGGTCGTCATGGTAACATCTGAAGGTCGAGCTGTGATGATGCCAGTTAGCTCGTTAGCCTCTGAGCTAGCTGCTGCAGCTTCATTAAAACCTGTCTTCTTGTCTGTGTCTCCTGCAGTGAAGCATCATGGGAGGTGGCAGATGGACGAGCCGGCCGTGGGCCAATCAGAGCCTGTGACACACACACACACACACATCATGACCATGGAACAAGGCTTCAGCTTAAATATGCTGGTGAGTTGTGTGTGTGTGTGTGTGTGTGTGTGTGTGTGTGTGTGTGTGTGTGTGTGTGTGTGTGTGTGTGTGTGGTGTGTGTGTGTGTGTGTGTGTGTGTGTGTGTGTGTGTGTGTGTGTGTGTGTGTGTGTGTGTGTGTGTTTTTTTTAGGTCAGTTTCTCCTCGTCATGTTAATGAGCCGTTAACAAACGCTTGCATTCAGGCTCGGGGGGGGGGCGGTAAATCTCAGCTTCCTGTCTGAGGCTCAGCTGCCAGATGTCCAACCCTCCAATGAGGCGACCCTTATCTTTAATATCCCTCATTGATGATGAGAAGAAAGTCAAGTTATTAGAAAAAATTGAATTCTAGGAAAAAAATCCAAATCTGACACAAAGGCGAATTTGGAGAAAAAATGATTATGATATATTATTATATATATATATATATATATATATACCATGTGTCCTCAGAGGAGGCTGGCGGCGGACCCGGACTACAGGGACGTGTCCCTCCCGGCGGTGGACCGGGTCCGGCTGCTCAGCAGGATGGGCAGCCGGGTGGAGCTGAGCGAGGACGTGCCCCCCCCGACGCTACCTGCGCTCCGGGGGTTGAGATGGAGCACATGGCGAGCGTCTACCTGCAGGAGGGCCGCTGGAGAACGCCTACGTGCCTCTACAACAAGTTCATCACGTACTATTATCATTATTATTATTATTATTATTATAATTATTTGTTATATTCAGGCACTGCTCACAGAGGACTCTGCCTAACGACCGTAATGTTAATCTATGCTCCAGTCTGTTTGTGGAGAAGCTGCCGGCGCACAGAGACTACCAGCAGTGCAGCCTGCCGGAGAAGCAGCTCATCATGAAGGTACTTATTATTATTATTATTATTATTATTATTATTATTATTATTATTATTATTATTATTAAAACCAACAAACATGAAGCAGATTATTTGTTTAAATTAAAAACATTTATCTTATGTATTTTCATTATTCCAAACCAGAACCACTTTAAATGAGCTTTGTAATCAGTGAAAGATCAGCGGGCCTCAGACGGATCCCTGAGGAACGCCTCATGTGATCAGCTGTAAACTACATCCTGTCTCCATAGAAACTGCAGGAAGTGGCGTTTCCTCGTAAAGACGAGCTGAAGAAACGTCTGCAGGAGAAATACAGCCTCGAGCACAGCGAGTACCTGAGGGCCCAGGTGAGCGTCGGCCAATCAGATTACAGCGTGTTCAGCTACAGGATATTAATCCATGTGACTTCCTGTCTCCTCAGGCAGCGACAGCAGAGGCAGAGGGGCGTGGCCTGCAGCTGCAACAGCTCTCCTTATTGGGCGATGACAGGGGGCGGGGCCAGGAGGAAAACAGGGGGCGGGGCCTGCAGCTTGTGCGGCCCTCCTCATTGGGCGATGACAGGGGGCGGGGCCCGGAGGAGGAAAGGGGGCGGGGCCTGCAGCTTGAGCGGCTCTCCTTATTGGATCAGGATAGGGGGCGGGGCCTGCGGATGGAGGACAGGGGGCGGGGTTTGCTGATGGAGGAGGATAGGGGGAGGGGCCTAATGGTGGAGGAGGATAGGGGGAGGGGCCTAATGATGGAGGAGGAGCGTCGGCGGGTCGTGGCGCTGCAGCGTCTTCAGATCGAGACGGAGCAGTTTCGCTTCTTCGAGGATCAGCTGCAGCGCCAGGAGCTGGCCAATAGGAGAGCAGAGGAGGCGGGGCTAAAGCCTGATAATAAAGCGTTGGAGGTGACGGACAGGTCCTCTCTCTCCCAGCAGCCAATTAGAGGCAGCGTACCGTCCCAGGGGGCGGAGCCTATCAGGAACAGACCTCCAGCTCCCGTCAGCCAATCGAACGGCTCGCTGGCTGCAGTACACAGTGAGCACACAAATACACACACACACACACACACACACACACACACACACACACACACACACACACACACAGTTACATCCTAATAAACATAAGCATAACTGTGTGTGTGTGTAGGTAGGGTGGAGGGTCTGAGGCAGGTTCTGGTTCCCAGAGACCTGACTTCCCGCTTCCTGCTTCTGGCCGAGTCCAACACGGCGCGTGGCCTGGAGACCTGTGGGATCCTATGTGGACGCCTGGTGAGACACTTCCTGTTTACACACTCTCTACTTCCTGTGTGTTAATTGATAATCACACCTGTCACTAACGAACCCCCCCCCCTTCAGATGCAGAACGAGTTCCTGTTGACTCACGTCGTCGTCCCGAAGCAGTCGTCCGGTCCAGATTTCTGCGACATGGAGAACGTGGAGGAGCTGTTCAGATTCCAGGACCAGAAGAACCTGCTGACGCTGGGCTGGATACATGTAGGGAACACGCTACATACACGCTAAACACACGCGACACACGCGCTAGATACATGTAGGAAACACGCTAAACACACGCTAGATACATGTAGGAAACACGCTAAACACACGCTAAACACACGCTAGATACATGTAGGGAACACGCTTAACACACGCTAGATACATGTAGGGAACACGCTAAACACATGCTAAACACATGCTAAACACACGCTAAACACACGCTAGATACATGTAGGGAACACGCTTAACACATGCTAGATACATGTAGGGAACATGCTAAACACACGCTAAACACACGCTAGATACATGTAGGAAACACGCTAAACACACGCTAAACACACGCTAGATACATGTAGGGAACACGCTTAACACACGCTAGATACATGTAGGGAACACGCTAAACACACGCTAAACACACGATATATACACGCTACATACACGCTAAACACATGCTAAACACACGCTAAACACACGCTAGATACATGTAGGGAACACGCTTAACACATGCTAGATACATGTAGGGAACATGCTAAACACACGCTAAACACACGCTAAACACACGATATATACACGCTACATACACGCTAAACACATGCTAAACACACACTAAACACAAGCTAGATACATGTAGGGAACACGCTTAACACACGCTAGATACATGTAGGGAACACGCTTAACACACGCTAGATACATGTAGGGAACACGCTAAACACACGCTAAACACACGATATATACACGCTACATACACGCTAAACACATGCTAAACACACACTAAACACACGCTAGATACATGTAGGGAACACGCTTAACACACGCTAGATACATGTAGGGAACACGCTTAACACACGCTACACGCTAGATACATGTAGGGAACATGCTAAACACAGGCTAGATACATGTAGGGAACACGCTTAACACACGCTAGATACATGTAGGGAACACGCTTAACACACGCTAGATACATGTAGGGAACACGCTAAACACACGCTAAACACACGATATATACACGCTACATACACGCTAAACACATGCTAAACACACACTAAACACACGCTAGATACATGTAGGGAACACGCTTAACACACGCTAGATACATGTAGGGAACAACGCTTAACACACGCTACAACGCTAGATACATGTAGGGAACACGCTACACACACGCTAGATACATGTAGGGAACACGCTACACACACGCTAGATACATGTAGGGAACACGCTAGATACATGTAGGGAACACGCTAAATACACGCTAGATACATGTAGGGAACACGCTAAACACAGGCTAGATACATGCAGGGAACACGCTTAACACACGCTAGATACATGTAGGGAACACGCTAAACACAGGCTGGATACATGTAGGGAACACGCTAAACACACGCTAGATACATGTAGGGAACACACTTAACACACGCTTGATACATGTAGGGAACACGCTTAACACACGCTAGATACATGTAAGGAACACGCTAAACACACGCTAAACACACGATATATACACGCTACATACACGCTAAACACATGCTAAACACACACTAAACACACGCTAGATACATGTTGGGAACACGCTTAACACACGCTAGATACATGTAGGGAACACGCTTAACACACGCTACACGCTAGATACATGTAGGGAACACGCTTAACACACACTAGATACATGTAGGGAACACGCTAAACACACGCTAGATACATGTAGGGAACACGCTAAATACACGCTAGATACATGTAGGGAACACGCTAAACACACGCTAGATACATGTAGGGAACACGCTACACACGCTAGATACATGTAGGGAACACGCTACACACACGCTAGATACATTTAGGGAACACGCTAGATAAATGTAGGGAACACGCTAAATACACGCTAGATACATGTAGGGAACACGCTAAACACAGGCTAGATACATGCAGGGAACACGCTTAACACACACTAGATACATGTAGGGAACACGCTAAACACACGCTAGATACATGTAGGGAACACGCTAAATACACGCTAGATACATGTAGGGAACACGCTAAACACAGGCTAGATACATGCAGGGAACACGCTTAACACACGCTAGATACATGTAGGGAACACGCTTAACACACGCTAGATACATGTAGGGAACACCCTTAACACACGCTAGATACATGTAGGGAACACGCTAAACACACGCTAAACACACGATATATACACGCTACATACACGCTAAACACATGCTAAACACACACTAAACACACGCTAGATACATGTAGGGAACACACTTAACACACGCTAGATACATGTAGGGAACACGCTTAACACACGCTACACGCTAGATACATGTAGGGAACACGCTACACACACGCTAGATACATGTAGGGAACACGCTACACACACGCTAGATACATGTAGGGAACATGCTAGATACATGTAGGGAACACGCTAAATACACGCTAGATACATGTAGGGAACACGCTAAACACAGGCTAGATACATGCAGGGAACACGCTTAACACACGCTAGATACATGTAGGGAACACGCTAAACACAGGTTGGATACATGTAGGGAACACGCTAAACACACGCTAGATACATGTAGGGAACACGCTTAACACACGCTAGATACATGTAGGGAACACGCTTAACACATGCTAGATACATGTAGGGAACATGCTAAACACACGCTAAACACACGCTAAACACACGATATATACACGCTACATACACGCTAAACACATGCTAAACACACACTAAACACACGCTAGATACATGTAGGGAACACGCTTAACACACGCTAGATAGATGTAGGGAACACGCTAAACACACGCTAAACACACGCTAAACACACGATATATACACGCTACATACACGCTAAACACATGCTAAACACACACTAAACACACGCTAGATACATGTAGGGAACACGCTTAACACACGCTAGATACATGTAGGGAACACGCTTAACACACGCTACACGCTAGATACATGTAGGGAACACGCTAAACACAGGCTAGATACATGTAGGGAACACGCTTAACACACACTAGATACATGTAGGGAACACGCTAAACACACGCTAGATACATGTAGGGAACACGCTAAATACACGCTAGATACATGTAGGGAACATGCTAAACACACGCTAGATACATGTAGGGAACACGCTACACACACGCTAGATACATGTAGGGAACACGCTACACACACGCTAGATACATGTAGGGAACACGCTAGATACATGTAGGGAACACGCTAAATACACGCTAGATACATGTAGGGAACACGCTAAACACAGGCTAGATACATGCAGGGAACACGCTTAACACACGCTAGATACATGTAGGGAACACGCTAAACACAGGCTGGATACATGTAGGGAACACGCTAAACACACGCTAGATACATGTAGGGAACACGCTAAATACACACTAGATACATGTAGGGAACACGCTTAACACACGCTAGATACATGTAGGGAACACGCTAAACACAGGCTAGATACATGTAGGGAACGCGCTAAACACACGCTAGATACATGTAGGGAACACGCTAAACACACGCTAAACACACAATATATACACGCTACATACACGATAAACACATGCTAAACACACACTAAACACACGCTAGATACATGTAGGGAACACGCTTAACACACGCTACACGCTAGATACATGTAGGGAACACGCTAAACACAGGCTAGATACATGTAGGGAACATGCTTAACACACGCTAGATACATGTAGGGAACACGCTAAATACACACTAGATCCATGTAGGGAACACGCTTAACACACGCTAGATACATGTAGGGAACACGCTAAATACACACTAGATACATGTAGGGAACACGCTAAACACACGCTAGATACATGTAGGGAACACGCTAAACACAGGCTAGATACATGTAGGGAACACGCTAAATACACACTAGATACATGTAGGGAACACGCTAAACACAGACTAGATACATGTAGGGAACACGCTAAATACACACTAGATACATGTAGGGAACATGCTAAACACACGCTAGATACATGTAGGGAACACGCTAAACACAGGCTAGATACATGGAGGGAACACGCTTAACACACGCTCTACACACACGCTAGATACATGTAGGGAACACGCTAAACACACGCTAGATACATGTAGGGAACACGCTTAACACACGCTAAACACACGCTAGATACATGTAGGGAACACGCTAGATACGTGTAGGGAACATGCTAAACACACGCTAGATACATGTAGGGAACACGCTAAACACAGGCTAGATACATGTAGGGAACACGCTTAACACACGCTAGATACATGTAGGGAACACGCTAAACACAGGCTAGATACATGTAGGGAACGCGCTAAACACACGCTCGATACATGTAGGGAACACGCTTAACACACGCTAGATACATGTAGGGAACACGCTAAACACAGGCTAGATACATGTAGGGAACGCGCTAAACACACGCTAGATACATGTAGGGAACACGCTAAACACAGGCTAGATACATGTAGGGAACACGCTTAACACACGCTACACACACGCTAGATACATGTAGGGAACACGCTAGATACATGTAGGGAACACGCTAAACACACGCTAGATACATGTAGGGAACACGCTAAACACAGGCTAGATACATGTAGGGAACGCGCTAAACACACGCTAGATACATGTAGGGAACACGCTTAACACACGCTAGATACATGTAGGGAACACGCTAAACACAGGCTAGATACATGTAGGGAACGCGCTAAACACACGCTAGATACATGTAGGGAACACGCTAAACACAGGCTAGATACATGTAGGGAACACGCTAAACACACGCTAGATACATGTAGGGAACACGCTTAACACACGCTAGATACATGTAGGGAACACGCTAAACACAGGCTAGATACATGTAGGGAACGCGCTAAACACACGCTAGATACATGTAGGGAATACGCTAAACACACGCTAAATACACGATATATACATGTAGGAGGTATGTGGCGCAGTGGCTAGTGCGTTGGTGTTGGGATCAGGGGGGCACAGGTTCAAACCCCACTGCAGTCAGCATGTCGTTGTGTCCCTGAGACACTTCACCCAAAGTGCTCCTGTGGGGATTGTCCACAGTATTGAGTATGTAAGTCGCTTTGGATAATAGCGTCTAACAAGTAACATGTAATGAAGGGAACACGCTTAACACACGCTTAACACACGCTTAACACACGCTTAACACACAATAAGAAAGTTTAGGATTACAAAAAATGAAATCATGTCTTAAACTGTAAACACTGAACACATGTAATAATTATCATTCAGATCTGTGAGCCCACAGAGTGTGTGGGCGGTCTGTTAATACAGCACACTATATCACCATGGCAACAGAGGCTGTGTGGAGAGAGAGAGAGAGAGAGAGAGAGAGAGAGAGAGAGAGAGAGAGAGAGAGAGAGAGAGAGAGAGAGAGAGAGCACTCTGCTGCGAGACACTAATAATAAATGTAATTAAAAACAATTATAATAAAATAAATACAAATAATTCCTAAAATAAGTATTTAATCATTACAAATAAAACACCTCTGTGTGACCCCTGTATGCCCTCTGTGTGACCTCTGACCTCAGACCCACCCCACCCAGACGGCCTTCCTCTCCAGCGTCGACCTTCACACTCACTGCTCCTACCAGAGGATGCTGCCAGAGGCCATCGCCATCGTCTGCGCCCCCAAACACAACGAGTAGGTACACACACACACACACACACACACACACACACACACACACACACACACACACACACACACACACGCCCTCTCACTGACAGTGTGTGTGTGTGTGTGTGTGTGTGTGTGTGTTCAGCTGTGGTGTGTTCAGGCTCTCCTCC